TTCAATGTTTGAAAATATTTTAAATCTTTACCTATTTTATCAGTATGACACCTTTTTAGATGATCTTCGAGCTTTGATGGTTTCATAGAGTCATTGCTCAAAACTTTGTTGCATAATAGGCACATGGGCAATTGTTTGTCTGCCTCTGATGGAACAAAACCATATTTCAAATAATCGATACTATATTGTCGACATTTTTTCTTTGCTGTAGCCATGTTTCGTGTCAGTTACCTTACCTGTAAAAAAAAAATGTTTTAGTAACCAAGTTTTTTCTGAATATAGGTATCACACCGCAGCCTTTGTCAGCACGCGGAAATAGAATTACGGCTTGTAAAGGGACCAACTAATAAACCGCTGAGACAAATACAGACGTTTTCACAAAACGGTATCAATTTTAAAGTACATAATTTACCACTAATTTTTAATAGTATAAATAAAAAATTGGTGTACTCAGTATCGAATACTGATCATATTTGTGTAGGAAAAAATAAAAGTCGAAATCCCAAAATTGTCCATAAAAACGATAACTAACATTTTATTAAATCAATGAGTTCACGCGCTCCGTGTATTTGCGTATTTTTTGTCTGCGGCTTCATTGTTAAAACGTGACAAACTGGCATAGAAGTCCAAGCCCCGCCCTTTTCCCGTCGCCCGCGCACCGCTCGCTCTTTCCGAAAAGGAATAGTTTTGATAAAATAGTTACTTCAAAACCAATTTAAAATGATTATGAAATTACTGTTTTATAAAATTAGTAGTTATTTGCAAGAAAAATTACAAAATTAATTGCTCTGCAATATTGCTTATTCGGCCTTTTAGAGAGGCAGTGTTTCTCTCGTGAAAAAACAATTGAATAAAACGTGCTGTGTTTGTCTTCAAATCGAAAGAGGACAATTAAAATATCTGTAAGTTACTAAGTTACCTATCTATACAGGCCGTTGTGATCAACCGACTAGTACACGTAAACAAAATACTTAAGTACTATAAAAAAAAAGGTAGGTTACTTACTTTTCTCCGGCACTAGCAAACACAGATATAAATTTTCTCACAACTTTTTTCCAAATTCCGCCTTTTTTTCGAAATTCCGGAAACAAATGAATGCGTTTGCCTTTGGCATCAAGTATTTATAGTGGTGATCAAGTTCATGTCTGAACAAGCATTAAGCATTGTCGGGCGGATAGCGCTTTGCAAGTCTGTACACGAAATTGTACGTAATATCGAATACGCAAGTTTGGACAAGTAACAGTCGCTTGCCTTATTAAAATATTATCTGCTTAGATAGGTACTTAAAACAATGTAGGTAGGCCCTTATAAAAACTATGCTTACATTTTTGCTCTTTACTATCAAAAGCAGATAAATTTTCGTGGACCCCCATTAACATCTTATGGACCCCCATTTTTTGTTCACGCCTACGTAGACCCCCAGCAAGTCTCCCGTGGACCCCTGGGGGTCCACCTGGACCACTTTGGGAATCACTGTACTAGACTAATATTACTTCAGTTGTGTGTGTTAGGAAAATGATTTTGCGATCTAGTTTAGATTGCGATTTACGCTGCACACCGTATGTCTGTGCGTGTGCCGGTGTCATGCCGGTGCGATCGAAAAGAAGGCAGATATAGATGTTTCAATTTCAATCGCAAGTCGCAGTGTACTACGAAAAGTGATCGCAGGTCGCGATTGCGAATTTACTATCGCAATTTGCGATTTTATGCTCATCTCTAGTATCGTCGCATCGGTATACAATATTGCTGTTAAAATAAATGGGTAACTTCATATTAATAACATACTTCTGAAGTAATACATGCGAAACCTTGGCCTTGAAAACTCAACAGCCATGAAAAATCGTTTCTTCTTTTTGTTGTTGAGAAACTCATCGTTCATGTACTCCGTTACCGGCGCTACCCATGTAAATTGTACATAATTATTTTATCAACTCGAGTAAATTTTGCCCTGTCATAATAAAATTTTAATCGTAATAACATCTCTTCATAATAATATGTAATTTAATTAAAATTATTTCTAATATTAACTTTAGCTCACCTTGAAAATAAATACATTTTCCTCTTTGACAATAGATTTACTGCTTATTTTTTGTGACCGATATTTTAGAGCAGGAAATACGCAGTCTTATCTTTATGCTATATGAAACTGATCAGACACATTTCGACATTACTTTTTTATTAACAATTATTAAAGGTCTCTAACATGTCATTAACAATAGGTAACTGTAAGCGGTGTGGCAAGTCGAAGGTCACCTCCATTTCTTGGCCCATAATGTTCAAACAAGGTTCAAACGGTAACACAGAGAGAGGCGTGGTTCTTCGAAAGGTAAATCATTGTATCCGGTAAAAGACAACGACAAGTCGGGCGATTAAGATTTTTATCACTTTGAAATTTGCAGATACAATGCGAAACAACCGTGTGTACTGGAATGTCCAAAAAATTATCATATAATGGAATATGTAGATGTAGAACTTTAACCCCCAACTGACGTGGTGAATAAAAAAAAGTTCTGGAGTCCGATGGACCCCAATTATTACATCAATATGAATGAAATTGTTGTGTTCGCAAGTTTGAATATATTGTAAGCTGCATAGGAAGCAGATAGGAAGAAAATCCTATATATTCTTTTATTTAGTCCGTTAAATTCTAGTATTGAATATAAATCGAACAAGTTTCTTAAAATACTTGTTTTCTGGACGTTGCCACAAATTATCTATAACAGATGCGAAAGAAAGCGACTGCATCGGAAACCGCTCGGCAAACCCGACACGCCTATTGAGTGGTGTAAATACACCAGTCGTTTAGTCCGGAAACCTATGCTGTGTCGTATTCGCTTGCTGGAATGACATAGTGCGTGGTTATATGTTTCTTTTTCGCGTGTAGGATTTTTGTTGAACTTTTGAACTGTTATTTCTAAGTTTTGGTAATTTGTAATATCTTATTTAAAATGGGATGCAAATGTGTTTATTTATAAGGAAAAAAAAAGATATTTATAGTATAAAAAATTAATTTATTTAACAAAATTTAATTAAAAATGTGACAAAATAGTTACCTTTCTATTGGTTCTGGACTTTTTTCGACTATATAAATCTTTATTTGTAAACTTTAATACATCAAATATTTTCAATCTAATAAATCATTTAATGATGTAAATAAGAGGAAATTTCTCACATGGGTGGTCAAATTTTATAGTTTTCATTATATCAAACAGCCTCCGAGAAATGTTTTCAAATTAAAATGCCTTTAATTATGTTTGACTACATCATTAAAAAGGGTCTTCAAATACATCAATGTGATATTTGTCTAAAAAATGCAAAAGAATCCGAATCTCTGGATAACTCGAAATTATTTACTCATTTAAAAGCCTTTGATCATGAAAGTGGAAAAATTTGTTCATTATATACAGGCTGGAAAAATTATTTATATTAAATTTTGATGAGTTTTGCACTGAAGCAAACATTCAGAGGCTGTTTGATATAATGAAAACTATAGAATTTGACCACCCATGTGAGAAATTTCCTCTTATTTACATCATTAAATTATTTATTAGATTGAAAATATTTTATGCATTAAAGTTTACAAAAAATAAAGATTTATATAGTCGAAAAAAGTCCGATAGAACCAATAGACTGTGACATCTTTAATTAAATTTTGTTAAATAAATTAATATTTTATACTATAAATATCTTTTTTTTTCCTAATCTCTACGAGCTGATATAATATGACGAGCAATCTATTAAATTACTGTGAGATTATACAGAAAAGTCCACAGACTTCGAGACATAGGAAAATCAAGTCCATTTAGCGTGTGTCCAAATTTTGAGAAGTTTTCAAAAATGACAGTTTTGTTTAGACTGGCGTTTAATTTCACCTGACTTCTCGGTGAATGATTTCTTTTTATGGGGGTACATAAAATCTAAAATTTACGGCCATGAAGAAATTAAAACTTGGAGCAGTTAAGGCAGAAAATATTTAATGCCTTTGACACTGTCACCCCTGATATGTTATCCAATGTGAGGAGGGGATTTTATGATCGTTTGGGTTATTGTTTAATGCAAGAGGGAGGCACTTTTGAACAATTTTTGTAATTTTTTAAATTTCATTATCCTGTTTTTTTTACCGCTTACCCATTACCTACCTTGACGAACATGGGAAAACGAAGGTCCTTTTCAGGACCACAAATATTTTGATTGAGAAAATTGGTAACTTTTTTTTGGATTAAAAAACAAAAGTTGTTAATATAATACCAATTTAAAAGCGTTTTAGTAGTTTTAATACACACTATGATATAAAATGTATTATTGTTATAATGTACATTATTAATACTATTGTTCATTCGAAATGGCATTAAGGCCCAATTGCAACAATGATTTAAATTTTTCTTAAAGATAAGTAGAGCTTAGAATGAGCAGTATTTATATTCACTTTAATATTCACCTTAAATGAGGGAATTTGACTGATTCAATTTTTGAATTTGAATTGTTTTTAATGATACTAACAATTTTAGTTCAATTTTTAATAAAATTTATTTAATATTAATAGAAATCCAAGAGATTTGAAACCTCTTTTAGCGATTTATAACATTCTCAAATGAATTACAAGTGCCCTTATTTTCTATGAAAATCACACAGCTTTTTTCATAGTCATTGCAGTTGCTACAGCTATAAAAAACTAATTTTTTAAGGTGTGAAAATTGCGACACACGCTAAATGGACTTGATTTTTCGTATGTCTCGAAGTCTGTGGACCTTTTTGTATGCCTCGATAACATATTGGTGCAGATTATTTTCACCCAAACAAATAATAACCCAAACTATACATTGATGCGGATTGTCTATGAACTCTTTCTGAAGGTCACAGAAACCTGAACGCGTAATTCGGTGTTCTTTCGCATCTGTTATAGTTAATTTGTGACGTTGCTAGCTCTCGTACTATTACACTTGATATAATGCGACCTACATAATATAAACAAAGTCTTTCTAAATGATTCACTTCCTTACCTGATACAGCGAGTTTCCGGTGACGTACGACTGAATGTAATGCGACCCGAACTTCTTAATGAACATTAACACACTGGCCACATCGCCCACTACGATATCGTCAATTTCCCTTTGCACGGGTTCGACCACTTTCAAGTTCGAGGGCGTCCTGGCCAGCCTTGAACTGTCCCTAAACCGCGACAAGCGCACCAGCACGTAGCAATGTTCCTTGGCGATGAAGGATGAGTTTATGCCCAGGTTCCTGGCCAGCGTCTCGATGCTCCAGCTGGAGGTGAAGGCCTTCCACGGCTGGTCCAGCAGTTCGAAGTCGAAGTCGCGGAAGTAGGCCTGGACCAGTTGCTTGATGTTGTCGCAGAACTCCATGTGGAAGTCGCCGTCGAAGACCCGGCGTTGCTTCCGGCCGGATCTCTGATTGGGCTGCAAGGCGTACAGGTCGGCATCGGTGAAGATGTCGATGGTGGGCTCGCGAAAGATCCATTCGGAATCGTTTCTGGGGACCACTTTCATGCTCAGGCTCAGGTAGCCGTATCTGAAAAGAGGACAAAAAATTATTAGCGTAAGAACTCATTTAAGTAACAAATTTTTTTCTATGCTACGGATTATGCAAGACTGTTGTTGATATACAACATTTGTACATTTGCAGCGCTCAGATCAAAGTTGGCATTAGTATTATTTTTATTTTTGAGTTGACTGCTTGAAAAAACTTATTGGCCCTTATATTAGTTCGTTCTAGTTCGTATCTGTGAGTGACTGGAGTTTGAGTTTGAGCCAACTTTTGAATAAAAAGATTAAATTCCGGTTTATCAGTGTCGTTCTCATTATTTTATTCAAAACGTGTAAAAATATGATGTAGGGTAAACTCAATAATTAATTGTTTTATTTTACTTTGTCAATAAATGTTGGTAGTTATTAAAATTGTTATAAATATATACCGGTTAACACGTCGTAAAAGTGGCTCACCCCTATAACTTTTTTATTTTTTCAGATAAAAAGCGAGATTTTGTATGTTAGTATATGACATAAATTCGGATCGATTGACGGTTTCAATTGTTTTTGGTCACTTCCTGTTTCACCGGAAATGACTACAACTTTTGAGTTGAATTTGAACACTGAATAGAATGTCATATCATATGTCAACTTTTGACGTTTTTCAATTAAAAACTAATGTTAAAAACACTAAGTTATAATCAACGAGCTTTGGAGAAATAGTTTTGATCCTCTAATATTTTTTGTGTCTTGTCCTGGCCGGTTAAAAGATGCCCAAATAGTATTTTTAATCATATCTCAATTTTTTCAAATGGAACAAGGGTGGGCCATTAGTATATTTGGAAAAAAAAACATTTGGAAAAAACACTTGGTATTTCGAATAAAATTGTCATTATGAACCTCATGTTACAATTTCAAATAAACCATATACGAATATGTCAAAAGTTGACATGTGATATGTTATTCTATTCAGAGTGTAATTTTCTATCGAACAATCATTTCCGGTGGAAGAGGAAGTGACCAAAAACAAATGAATACGTCAATTAATCCTAATTTATGACATATATTAACATACCAAATTTCGTTTTTTTTATCCGAAAAAAATAAACAAGTTATAGGTGTGAGCCACTTCTGAGACGCACCCGGTATATAATTCTAATAAAAATAGACAAGTTATAATAATTATTTATTAACACAAACATCCGATATGATACTGAAGCAGGTAAGTCAAATTGTTACTTATATTATACAAGTACCTATCTAAATTCTTTGACATCTAATCTTTGACAAGTAGTAAATAAAAGCAAAAAAAATGCAAGAAAAAAATATATAATTAGTTAATTTTCAGTGAATTTCATAAATTATCGGTTTACTACACATATGTATAAAATCATTTACTTGGGAATTCCATTATTTCCCTCGATTTTTGACCGAAATCTACACGCTACACAACCAACTATTTTACAGTTTTTTTCGATAAATCCCAATAGTGTCACTATTAATTTAAATCCACAAAATTTCCTTCTAGATTTACTACCTCTAAACAACTACCCGTTGTAGAATAAATAATAAGTACCATAAAATTAGCTCAGTAAATACTGACAAATCCGCAAAATTTCAGATCAAATATGTGTCAAATCGAATAATCTTTTGAACTGACAAATCGTCAAACAGAACTGTCAAGGAAAATCGGAAAAAAATATTGGACACATTTTTCAGTAATAGTACCTATTGACGCATGCATAATTATTTAAAAATGGTCTAAACGAACATTCGAAAACATTTGTTTGGGGTAAACTTAAAAAATAAATGCTGGGTGTTTCAAATTTCGCGCTCACAATTGGGATCTCGAAAACGTAGGTGATATAGGGTGGCATAAATTAGGGGAAAGTTGCTTGTTAGTGAGCCCGATGATAATATAATCCAATTAGTAATGTACTAATTGAACTAATTTATGTCATTTCCGGAAATGTTTGAAAAAAATTAAATTTAAAAGAAAATACCAAAAAAACAACGTAAAATTGCAATTTTTTACGTTTTTATGCATTTTTTCAATTTTCCGTCACGAAATTTTGTAAGCAAACATCAGATTCCGATTTAGCCCACAAAAAACAAAGAGAACAAAATAAATCAGAACTACCCCAAATTTTTCCTCAAAAAATACAATTTGACCATACTATATGCCTTTCTTGAGTAAGTGCGCTACATCATTGTATGTATAGGGTGGCGCACCTCATTCGCCCCGGCTGATTATACCCTTGATTATGATTTTATATATAGGCAAGAATTATACGAAAATGGAAAGATGTGGAACGAAAAATGAGAAAGAATGAAAATATTTTATGAGTATATGTGGGGAGGTAATGTGCACAATTTAAATTATTTTGAAATGTACCTACAGGGTTTCAGAACTAAGATCCATACCAAAGTATAATAACTTTTTTTGGACACAATAATCCAAAAATGAAATAAAATACCGGGTGTTCCATAAGAAAAAATATAACTTTGGTATAGACCTTAGTTCTGACACACCCTGTATATTTCAAAATAGTTTTAAATTGTGCCCATTGCCTCCCCACATATACCCACAAAATATTTTATTTCTACATCTTTCCGTTTTCGTATAAACCGAGATGAATGAGGTGCGCCATGCGCCACCCCGTATTTGGGAGCTCATAAGCTTCTAAAAATTGAAATAAAAAAATATAAAAAAATAAAGTTCAAACGAAAAGTGATTTTTCACGTCACCAAACGATGAATCTAAGAAAGTTTCTTCGAGAAAAGAAACATTCTCTAAGAAGAGAACACGAAGAAAAATATATTTTTGTAAAAAAAAAATTGTAACTTTATAAATCAACCATTTCTAATAAATCATGAAGAATGGTTGACAAAACTAATAACATAAGGTGACAAATGAAAAAACAAGTAAGGCTTATCACAGCATACTAAACTAAGTGTATCGACATTGAATTATGTCTCATACCTTAGCTAATTACTAAATAAATTCTTTGATTAGTATGAATTTCCTATTTATGTTTAATAGCGATATAAATTACTTCTGACCTTGAAATCCACTCGGTAATATTTCGCTAATAAAAATCACAAGCATGCCATATAGGGTAATTTAAGTTTCAATAAGACTAGTGAAGTATACAATTATCTAATCATTTAAATTAATATTGAAAACGTTAAATACGCTCAAGTTCTTACATCAGTACCTTGATAGATTAAAATTGTTTTATAACAACAACTGTCGTTGACACAAATGACTGAGATCAATGCGTTAAAGAATTTCGCATTGAAATTTAAAATGTCATTCGAGGTCGCGTACTAATGCAGAATCACTAGCTTGTAACACATAAAGATCACACGTGCTTGAAAATACCATGAAATTATCAACAATGACAAGAGGTGAAACACCTGATATTGTTCTTTAATAACGGCATAATATGACATTTTCAGAAAAATAATCGATTAAATAATTATTTTTATTAAAATTAAATAAAAAATCTCGTATTATTGAATATCAAACCACTAGGGTAATTAAATTTTGGATGTGGCAAGTCAATTTTAAATCCGCATTTGCTTGAGTGCCTAAAACAATTTAGGATTTGACATTTTTTTAAAAAGATATTGATTGTATCTTTGAATAGGAACATTAAGGAAAGGGTATATTGCTACCCAGGTTTCGAAATTGTAGATCGATTTGTGTAGTACAATAGTGTAAGTTACACTGTTAGTTCTCTTGGACCAGAGTAAGGCATTCGATTCAGTTAACTTTAAATTGCTTTTAGCTTCGGTTAATCGGATTTGATACTGCTGCATTGTCTTGGTTTGAAGATTATCTAAATGATAGAACACAACGAGTAAAGCTAAATAACTTAGAATTATCCAACTTTAATGTGACACTGAATGGAGTGCCCCAGAGTAGTATCTTGGGCCCACTCTTATTTTTATTATACATATTTGATTTGCCATCAGCGATTCATAAGTGTCAAATGCATACGTTCGCCAACTATGTACATATCTGGAAAGTGCCATCGAGGATGCTGGATACTGTTACTATTTTGAACCGCGATTTGACTGCTTACGAAACATGGTGTAGTAACCATGGACTAATAATAAATTCTAATAAATCTGATGCACTTTGTGTAGATAATGCGAGAAGTAGAAACTTTATTATTTCCAATTTTAATTTATCTATTGGCGGTACTCAGGTCGATGTTGCCAAGAACCTGAGAGTTTACCTAGACATCGGCATGACATTCGAACATCACTGTAAAAAAGTATACAAACAAGCTATGTTTAAATTGAAAAGTCTATACAAATCTAAAATTTTTGTTGGATGAAGCGACAAAACCTCATTTAATAAAGGCGCTGATATATCCACATTTGGAATATTGTAGTCAGATTTATTACATTTTTTTGACCAACTACAATCAAGCAAAAATACAGATAGTACAAAATGCATCGGTAAAATTTGTTTGTGATATACAATACAGAGAGCACGTAACTACTCACTTGATTAAATTAGACTGTTTTTGCGTTTTCATTACCTTATGTTATTATATAAAGTCTATACATACAAACTTCCTTCATACTTATACAATTTACTTATAAAAAGATCAGAAATCCATAGTAGAGATATTAGATTAAATACTTTTACAGTACCGCGGCATTCTAGTTCAAAATTTAAATGTAGTTTTTCTTATAAGGCACCTTTATTGTTAAACCCAATACTTGATATACTAGATTCACCTTTTTCAGGATTTAAATTTGAAATTAAATATCGCTTGTTTACTAATTAAAAATAATAATAATTGTTGACTAATTAAATTAATTTAAATCGTTTTAATGATCAGTTGTTTAAAAAATATATATTTATTCTTTATTGTATTTCTTTTGCATTCTTTGTTATAATTTGAATTGTGCAGATAATTTGAATAATTGAAGTTATAATTTGAATAAATGCAGAATCATTTACTTTTATTTTATGGTGGAGTGGAAGAGTGGCTAACGCCAAACTCCGACCAATTACTGTCT